GAAGGGACACGGAAGGGGAGGAGGGGGTGGTCCCAAAGGTAGAAGTTTCAAACACGCACCCCCCAGGAGGGCCTCGAACCGACGAGGTTCCAAGTTCGAATTTCGAAGTGCGAATTTCGAAGTTCGGAGTTCGAACTTCGAACTTCGGACTTCGAACTTTTAACTCTGAATCTTCTTTTTTGGAAGCCCCCCGCCAAAAGGAGCGGGGCGGAGGAAGACAGGGGGGCGGGGGAGGGGGGGGGGGGGAAGGGGGGAGAGCGCGCAGGGGGCGGAGAGGGGAGGGCGGGCCTGGCTTTTCGCGCTCGGGGGAAGGAAGGAGGGAGGAACAGGGAGAGAGGAGGGGGAGGAGGAGGAGGTGGAAGGCTCAAACGAGGCCGAACGGCATCCATGAAAGTAATGTTTCTTTTTTCAGCTCCAGGAGCGCGGCAGGCCGCAGTCGACAACGAGGCGCCGACGTGCGCACAGCGTCAGGCCAACGCCGCGGGTGCAGAGGCCTCTCACCTCCGAGCCACGGCCAGTCCAAACGGCGCGCTTAGCCGTTCGCTTCACGTGCCAGCGTCGTCTCTCGGAGCAGAGAGGGATGCGGGGAAACCGTAAAGTTGCTGTACAGCACAGCCTGTAGTTTGTCGTGGAGCCCAGCGCACGCGCAGCGCGAAAAAAATGCACGAGGACAGGCTTGTCGCCGCTTTCCTTGCCGCGGCGCTGACGCAGCGCGCATCGGCAGCAATCAAAAAGGCCATGCATCAGCGGGCGCGCGCGTTTAAAACTCGCACAGGGACTCTCACTGTCGTCGGCTTTTCGCCTGAGCACCCACCTCAGCGAGCAGCCCCCGACGACGGGCCACTACCCGACGACTTCGTGGCGAGGCGCTTGCGCAGGGCGTCGGACACCCCCGCCCCCGACGGCGGCGAAGGGGAGGGCCGCTTGTTGCCCTTGGCCTTGCCCTTGCCGCCGTCCGCGGGCTGCTTCGGGGTGGTCGGCTCCCTCTTCTTCGCGAAGGCGGCGCCCGTCCAGTCCGGCGAGCGGGGTGGAGCCACGACGCCCTTCGCTGCGAACTCGCCCAGGAGGTCTTCGACCTTGTACGAGCGCCCGTCGTCTTTCTTGAGCGACAAGGTCGTGTTGTAGTTGAAGGGGTCATCAAACTCAAGCTCCACGGCGGCGAACTTGAGGACCGCCTTCGGCTCCTGGTGGTCGAGGCGGCACGTGACCGACCACTCGTCCTCGCTGTCGCCCTTCGCCCCGCTGTAAAAGCCGTCCTTGAGGTCGTCGTCGGTGTACTCGGTGCTCAGGGGGCGCCCCTTCGCGGTGTAGTGCTGGCTTAGCGCCGTGCCGAAAGCTTCCCAAGTCTCCAGGCCCTCGTAGGTGATCGTCGGGAGCGGGGTGTCTGGACCGACCCTGAGCCCCAGGTAGAGCAGGCCCAGCTTGAAAGCCTCGTACCAGCAACCGTCGAGCGGCGTTTCCGGGAAGCGCTCGGGCTCCATCTTGTGGAGCAAGAAGTCGACAAGACCGTTCTGCCTTGTCTGGTGGCGACTAAGGCCGCGAAACAAGACGACGACAGAGACGAGGCGCGACGACGACGACGACGATGGCGGCGGCGGCGACGGCGACGGCGACAGCGACGGCGACGACGACGACGACGATGACGACGCCAACGACGAAGACGAAGACGACGACGACGACGACGACGACGACGACGACGACGACGACGGACGACGGCGAAACTGACGTTTATGCTCTTGTGAGCGCGCTAGCGAGGGCGGCGAAAAGCCACGAGGCCAGGGAAGGGCAAACCAGGAAAGCCTCGAAAGCTCCAGGTTCGAACGTGGACCTTCGAAGTTCGAACTTCGAACTTCGAATTTCGAAGTTCGACGTGTGCAAATTGGGCCCCCCCTGACTCTTGGGGGGGATGGGGGGGTGGGAGGAGGAAGAGGGCCGAGAGCCGGCAGGAGGGGGAAGGGGGAGGGGGGGATGGAGCGGGCGCAAATCAGGGCATGAAGATTCCTCCGCCCTCTGCCTGTCCAGGTGCTCGAACTTCTTCAAGCCCGCGCGAAGCCTCTTGCCCTGTGGCTGCTCCGGCTCGGGCTTCTCGCCGCTCTCGGCAGGCTTGGAGGTGGCAGACGCCCTGAGGACCGCCTTCCACTCCTCGTTGTGGAGGAGCGCGTTCAAGTGGTACAGCAGGCCAGGGTCGGCACGCAGGATCTTCACCGTGTCCTCGACCGTCTGCTCGATGGCCGCCTCGCCCGCCCTGCTGAGGCTCGCGAGGATGGCCGCGGCCTCCTTGTCTGCGGCCTTCTCGGCGCGGCTGCTGGAGGACATGGCTGCGCCGAGGGGCTCCGTGGCGGAGTTTGGGGGGCCGCGGCAGGCTTGTCGCCGAAAGGCTTCTCAGACGCACTGCGCTTGAGCCTAACGGTTGCCGAAGACGAGATGGATGGGGGGCGGGCGACAGGGAAGACGGGCGGGCGGAGAGGGGGCGAGGGGGGTGACGCAGACGGAAGGAGGAGCACGAAGGCAGACGGCGGACCGAGAGGGGGGGAAGGGCAAGAGGAACGGAGCGAGCGAGGGCGGCGAGAAGCCTGCCTGCAGGCTGAGGAAGGGCAGGGGGGGCCTCCAAAGGTATATATTCGAAACTCGCCATGCCCTGGAGGGCCTCCAACCGACGACGTTTCAAGTTCGAACTTCGAAGCCCGAACTTCGAAATCAGGAGGTCTAAGTTAGAACTTCGAACTTCGACCATCCAACTCTGAACGTCGCGCTTTGGAGGCCCCCCTCCCCCCCCTCCCCCCCTCCCGCCACGAGAAATGGGATGGAAGAGGAAAGGGGGACGTAGGAGGGGGAAGTTTTTCCGCGAACCTACTCCTCGGCACTGCTGCCTCGCGTCGGCGCCGCCCAATACGCAAAACAACAGACATTGGGGCGCAGCACAGGCTGACGCCGAAAAATGGGGGCAGCACAAGCTTGCGCCTCTAGCAGGTGAAACTGAGCGGGCCGCAGCACAGGCTTGACGCCGAACAGACTGCGGACGAGCAGCGCCAGACAGGATGACGTCAAAAAGTGCTGCAGCGCTGCCTGTCATCGATACACACATTGCTTCGTCGCTCACGGAAGCTCCGCCTCGCGGAAGCGTTTGGCCAGTTCTTCCATGTCAA